TTGTAAAGTGTAATTTATTCCTGAATTTATCATCATTACTCCAGTCTTCAGTGTCACATGATCCTCTAGAAATCACTCTAATATGATGATGATAATATATGACACTTTACTGTATATTCACATGTACGCGATCGTCTCCTGATGTGATGCTGAAGTGTGAGCGATTAGTTCACACACACACACACACACACACACACTGCCTGCTGTGTTGCCCGTGCGGAGTGTGTCGTTCCGTCAGTCAGTCGCAGAGGAGTCCTGACAGGTTTTCTGCTTTGGTGTGTCACAGTAAGGACATCTCTCTTCACACTCGTTCTGCTGTCCTCCTTTTGTCTTCACCGTCTCCATCTCTAAACGCTGTTCCATATGGAAGAGAGATGGAGGCGAGGAGAATCTCACACACACACACTCACACACACACACACACACACACACAATGACGGCTGATCGACACTGAGGCGCTCACTATTCATCGCCTTCTCTCTGTTTCTGAGTATTTTCTGCTGTGATGTTGGGGGAAATCTCTCTCTCTCACACACACACACACACACCACACACTCACACACAATGAGGGCTGATTGACACTGAAGCGCTCGTCTTCTCTCTTGTTTTCTGATTTTCTGTTGTGATTTTGGGGGAAATCTGTGCGATTCTGCAGAATGAAGTTAAAGGAGAACTCCGGTGAACAATGAACCTTTGGTCTAATAAAACATCGGTACATAGTCAATCGTTCTCTGAGATTTGTTTTCATGATAATCAAATGTTAAGAGTTTTATCTCTAAAAACTGTTTAGCGTATAATGCTAGTACTGGGGGCATTGAGTAAGTAAAAAGAAATCGCTAGTTTATACCACTAACAAGACTCAAAATAGCCCCACACTAACACAGAAACATAATGAGGCTCCATACATGCAAAACGAAGCATTGAGAACTGTGTAAGTGTACAGACCGTTTAATAAGAAGATACTTTATGAAGACAGATCACTTCATGTATACAGACAGGAGACATCTTAGGAAATACCCAGATAGCAAAGTGACATTGAATCAACGTGGAAATATGACATCGAAACAACGTTGATCTGACATTGTTTTGCTCATCGAATTAACGTTGAACCAACGTCAGACGCGTCATTCTTTCAAAACTAACGGAAAATCAACTTGAAATGTTTCAACGTTATGAAAGCAAACCAATTTTCGATTTTCATTTAGCTTTGAAGAATGCCGCGTCTGACGTTGGTTCAACGTTAATTCGATGAGCAAAATCAACGTTGTTTCAATGTCATGAGAGACGTCGTTTCCACGTTGATTCAATGTCAGTTTGCTGTCTGGGTAGTCTCGATAAGTCGATCCCTGAACGCCGTTCATACAGTTCAGAAGTTAGTTGAACTTCATAGAGTTCAGATCACTCAGCACGACGTTCGTGGTTTGACTTATCGAGACTATTTTTTGAGATGGCTCCTGTCTGTATACATGAAGTGAACTGTCTTCATAAAGTATCTTCTTATTAAACGGTCTGTACACTTACAAAGTTCTCAATGCTTCGTTTTGCATGTATGGAGCCTCATTATGTTTCTGTGTTAGTGTGGGGCTATTTTGAGTCTTGTTAGTGGTATAAACTAGCGATTTCTTTTTACTTACTCAATGCCCCCATTACTAGCATTATACGCTAAACAGTTTTTAGAGATAAAACTCTTTACATTCGATTATCATGAAAACAAATCTCAGAGAATGATTGACTAGGTACCGATGTTTTATTAGACCAAAGGTGAATTGTTCGCCGGAGTTCTCCTTTAACATGTTAAACGGAGCTGGAGTCCTTCACTTCACACACACACACACACACACACACACACACACATACTTGTTTGGGGTGCCTCGTGGGGGCACCAGTTATTTACCACATTTTGGGGACACCACTTTCCTGGCATCCTAGAGACTAGATAAACATATCAAAAAATCAAAAAATAAAAGTTTAATAAATATCTCTCTTAAAATGTAATTAATTCATTAAAATAAGGGTAGGTGGTAATCTGGGGACAGGTCAGGTTAACACATGTGGGGACACGGGGACAACTCCTTATATGAGCATTAACAGGAAATCCCATCTGGGGACAAAACCCTGACCAACTAGTGTATCAATAAGTACACATGGATGTCCAATCTGGGGACAAACCAGTGTAATCTACAGACAAAGAAAGGTCATAATATGGCCAGCTGGCCAATTCATAATGGTATTTCTGGAAGTTATATTGGTTTGTTAAAAATAGGGTGGTTTAATAAGTTAGTTCAGCTTAACTTAAATGAACTTGAACATGCAATCTTCAACTGCAAGTCATTTCAGTCCTCCAAGACTGCCACAATCATATACTGCATTTAACTCATTCTTACACAATTCAGTTGCTACATTTACTGATTATGACCCATGAGAGCCATACATTGAATGTGATTTTGCTGAGCAGCAAAGTTATCAAAGTCAATCTAATTTATATTATAAAGCCCTTTAAAAAAAGTTGTCACAGAGTGCTTCACTCACCCTAAACCCGACAGAGCACACAAGTAGATACACACACACACACAAAAAAAAAATGACCAAACCAATTAAATGTATAAATGGTAAGCAATTGTTAAAGTATGTATTATGTTTGAAGTAAAGTTAAGAATCCTGTAGTTAACCAGTAATAACACATTTGGGAAGGTTAGAAGATCAGAGCTACAATTCTTAAATTGTCTAACATTATGAACGTTATCAGTGGAATGGAGCTTTTGGTCTTGTTTTGAAATGCTCTAAGAATTGAATCTTTAAGTCATTAAAACAATCCAAGAGAAATAAAAAACAACCTTGATACAAATTGAATTTACAGCCAAATTTAATCAGTACAGTATGGGTTCCGTGCTTGCCACCAGATATTACAACATATATTTTTTATGAAGTGCTTCGTCTAATGTGCCATCAGAAAATACATTTATCAATTTAAAATTTAATCCATAACACTATTCAGTCCCCTTTACGTTTCACATTTTTAATTAAGGTATTGAAAACTATAGGCACTCTGTCGTATGGCTACTGTACAGTAAAACTAATCTACGCAATTAGAAAAAAATCATTTACACCAACTCATCCCCTGACACAGCATTTTGCCTGCAGACTTAAAAACAAGGAAGTCCAAGCACCAAATTTACAACCACATCAAACTGTTTTAAAGTAGAACTCCAGTCAATTTTAACATTGAGCTCATTTTTTGTACATTTAGAGTGCTGTCAGTACAGACAAAAATGACAAAAATCAGTGTTGCCTACATCGTGTTATCCTATTTTTAAAATTCGCACCCTGTTGACTTCAATGGGACATGTTCTAAACCTGCCTTTAGCCTCTTGACATCCTTGATTTGTCATTACAAGTGCACAGCCGTGTGAGTGGTGTTATTAAGAGTGACCACGGTCAATCGGACTGCAGTAGATGTGAAAGATATGAATGAAAATGTTAATTTAGCCAGCGCACATACCCGTGTTTACTTCCTGTTTTCGGTCGAAGTCCACAGTAGTCGATTGTCGAGTTCGCGCGCGATCATTAGTAACTAAATGATGTTCAACATCTGATTCGGATGAACTATCCATTTGAGCTGATGTTCTAAGCACACCACACAGCACCGTCATAGGCTGACAGCTGACAGTCTGAGTCTCCACTGTTGCTTAGTTACCAATGATCGCGCGCGAACTCGACAATCGACTACTGTGGACTTCGACTGAAAACAGGAAGTAAACACAGGCATGTGTGCTGGCTGAATTAACATCATTTTTATTCATATCTTTCACATCTACTGCAGTCCGATTGACCGTGGTCACTCTTAATAACACCACTCACATGGCTGTGCACTTGTAATGACAAATCAATGATGTTAAAGGGTTAGTTCACCCAAAAATGAAAATTCTGTCACCCTCATGTTGTTCCAACCCCGTAAGACCTTCGTTCATCTTCAGAACACAAATTAAGATATTTAAGATATTAAGATCGCTCCTGCATACAGTCCATAGGCTTCTTGAGGGAATGACTCTTGCTGGCCTCGAAAAGTCATTAAAGACATCGTTAAAATAGTCCAAGTGACTACAGGGGCTCAATCTTAACTTTATCAAACGACGAGAATACATTTTGTGCGCAAAAACAAACAAAAATAACGACTTTATTTCAACTATTCACTTCCTTCTCCATGGGCCTGTAGTCAGTTAACGTAGTGTGATTGCGTAAAGCTACGTCACACGTAGGCTCACTATTGGCCGACGCTGGTCATGTGTGTGATGCGTGTGACGTACAATAACAGAAGCTTACGCTATTAAACTAGTAACCTGACTCGCGCAGAGGGAGAAATAAACCAATAGTTGAAATAAAGTCGTTATTTTTTGTTGTTTTTGCGCACAAAAGTGTTCTCGTCGTTTGATAAACTTAAGATTGAGCCCCTGTAGTCACTTGGACTATTTTAACGATGTCTTTAATGACTTTGAGGCCAGCAAGTGTCATTCCCTCAAGAAGCCTATGGACTAGTATGCAGGAGTGATCTTAATGTCTTAATTTGTGTTCTGAAGATGAACGAAGGTCTTACGGGGTTGGAACAACATGAAGGTGAGTAAATACTGACAGAATTTTTGGGTGAACTAACCCTTTAAGAGGCTAAAAGCAGGTTTAGAACATGTCCCATTGAAGTCAACAGGGTGCGAATTTTAAAAATAGGATAACACGATGTAGGCAACACTGATTTTTGTCATTTTTGTCTGTACTGACAGCACTCTAAATGTACAAAAAAAGAGCTCAATGTTAAAATTGACCGGAGTTCTCCTCTAACTCTTTCAAAACTTAATTAATTAATAACATTATAATATTATAATGACCAAAAAAAACAATGGTATTGAGACCAAAAAAAACAGATGATATAATTCAGCTAAAACACAAAAACTGAATCAACAACCAAAATCAACCTTACTTTTTAGTGGTCCTTCTCTCATATTCTGTGATTCTGTTTTTTTATATAATACTTCACCGCCTGCCAGTCTCGTTCACCAAGGGCTTTGGGGGCTGCTGTAATGCATGCCATGCAGTCGACTTTTCCAGGAGTAACTCCCGAGTGAATAAATTTCATCATTTTCTCTTCTACAGCCGCAATCTCCACCTCACTCCACTTTCTCTTCCTAGGAACTAATGACAAGAAAATTACATTAATTGCACTGCATGTGTTGTAGGTCCAAGACTGGATTTTTTTTATACTATTCTTTATGATGTTGTTGACCTTTTATAAATAAAGCAAATAAAAACTATAGAGGGTTTTCACAGACGTCACGATCTGGGCGGTAACCCGGATGAGCGGCCATTATGGAGGCACTCGGATGTAAACAACAGCATGGATTGCACTGTTCATGTACTACTGAACACATTGTTTCACAAACAAAACACGGGAAAAAACCTGTGGTAGGTGCGAAATCATACAGAGAAGGACTTATCAAGCAGGAGAGAGCGTTTTGACAAAATAAAGTTAATATGTGGTAAAGGTCAGAACGAGCTAGCTTCTCTAGACCGTAGCTACTGCAATTCTTCCTTCTATTACTTATCCTGACATAGGCTACGTTCAAATTGTCAGTCCAAAAAGCACATGAAATCCGTTTCAAGCTACATCCATATGTGGTTTGAAATCCTATTCAAATACCAGGACATGCCTCAGTCTGAACGATCGGATTTCGGGTGGTATGTGTCTCCCCGGGCATGTAAAATGTAAACGTCAGGTTGTTAGAGGAGACATGCTGGAAGTCGCTGCCGTTGACCGCTCAATCGGACTAAAAACCCTTCATGTAAACACCTTAATCGATCCGATTGAGCTCGATCCGACTAGAATTTCGATCGGATTGAAAGGGGTGGTTTACTCCTTTTGTAATCCGAGCGAGAGAACATGTAAACACTTGATCGGATTGAAAACCGAAACTAAAAGAACTGCGCATGTGCAATGACGTTGAAATAGCGTAATGACATATGACGCACGGAACGAGCTGTTCTTCCTGTTGAATAAAGTGTCATATAAATGAATGTTTCGTTATTAAAAAAATTCTCATTTCACTCCATGTCTGTGAAGTGAAGCAGGACAGCGTCAAACCAGTGTTTGTTTTACATTCTCATCCACACACGACTTTTGGGTGCGGGGTTTTACTGCGTGATAAATACAATCAGCACGGCAAAACAGTTCATGCTCATCGTCTCCAAATCATGACCAGAGACGGATACAAATTAAAAAACACAGATAAAAAAGTCTGTTGTTTAAAACAAATACAGAACCAATAGTGGAGAATAGTTATGCTTATGCTTATGAACAGTGGCATATTCGTGCAGTGTGCGCATGTCAAATAATCAATTCCGATTTGAATCTTGTGACATATAAACGCGCACATCAACCCGATCACTTTATTTATCATTCATGTAAACACCTTAAAAACAGATAATCAGTCAAATGTGCGAGTCCGTTCATTGTTTATGTTAAGTGCCTCCAAAAATGTCCGACTTCCGAATTGATAACGCGTTGTGAAAACCCTCTATTACTGGACAGGTTCCTTACCTGATGTTACTTTCATGACCAACAACCTGAGGCAACCTATAATCAGTCAAACATGACAAATATAAAGGATTTTTACACAAATTATATTATCATGCAAATAATGCAATCCACCCTTAAACAAGGTGTCCCCATAAAGACAGTTAAAATACAGGTCAATGTCCCCAGAAGGTATCAAATAACATCACACATCGCTTGTTCGTTCTATCCTGCTACAGAAAGCTACAGAAAGTGTGTACAATGATTTTAACTAAAGTACATAAAATTGTAAACTGCAAAAAATAAATAAATAAATAAATATATAAAGATCATTTTTATTATGTATATGCAATGATTTTCCCTTCTCTACATTTATAATTAGTAGTCACTTCTCTAAAGTAATGATCAACTTATTTGAATTGCGATGTGATTGTATTAGAATTTAGGCATGGACCAGAACAGATTAATAATCTAGTTCAATATCTAATTGCAAAAATAAATTATCAAGTTATCAAGTATGAATGTGTCTAAAGTATCAATCAAACATTGAAAGGGTTGCCTTTTAAATGGTTACGAAAATCAGTCAAGATAAAATTAATGAATTCTCCAAACTTTTATGAACTGTGGCCATCATCTATACTTTCTTACCTTGGGATTGGAGTGGGACACATTCCAATCTTCTGCAGAGCTGGAATCTGTGTCCATGTTGTTTTGGAAGGCAACCTGTAATCAGTCAAACATGACAAATATAAAGGTAGAAGATTCTGAGAATTTTACACAAATTATATTATCATGCATATAATGCAATCCCTACTTAAACAAGGTGTCCCCATAAAGACAGTTAAAATACAGGTCAATGTCCCCAGAAGGTATCATGCAAATAATGCAATACACCCTTAAACAAGGTGTCCCCATAAAGACAGTTAAAATACAGGTCAATGTCCCCAGAAGGTATCATGCAAATAATGCAATCCACCCTTAAACAAGGTGTCCCATAAAGACAGTTAAAATACAGGTCAATGTCCCCAGAAGGTATCATGCAAATAATGCAATGCACCCTTAAACAAGGTGTCCCCATAAAGACAGTTAAAATACAGGTCAATGTCCCCAGAAGGTATCAAATAACATCACACATCGCTTGTTCGTTCTATCCTGCTACAGAAAGCTACAGAAAGTGTGTACAATGATTTTAACTAAAGTACATAAAATTGTAAACTGCAAAAAATAAATAAATAAATAAATAAATAAAGATCATTTTTATTATGTGTATGCAATGATTTTCCCTTCTCTACATTTATAATTAGTAGTCACTTCTCTAAAGTAATGATCAACTTATTTGAATTGCGATGTGATTGTATTAGAATTTAGGCATGGACCAGAACAGATTAATAATCTAGTTCAATATCTAATTGCAAAAATAAATGCAAGTTATCAAGTATGAATGTGTCTAAAGTATCAATCAAACATTGAAAGGGTTGCCTTTTAAATGGTTACGAAAATCAGTCAAGATAAAATTAATGAATTCTCCAAACTTTTATGAACTGTGGCCTTCATCTATCTTACCTTGGGATTGGAGTGGGACACATTCCCATCTTCTGCAGAGCTGGAATCTGTGTCCATGTTGTTTTGGAAGGCAACCTGTAATCAGTCAAACATGACAAATATAAAGGTAGAAGATTCTGAGAATTTTACACAAATTATATTATCATGCACATAATGCAATCCCTACTTAAACAAGGTGTCCCCATAAAGACAGTTAAAATACAGGTCAATGTCCCCAGAAGGTATCATGCAAATAATGCAATCCACCCTTAAACAAGGTGTCCCCATAAAGACAGTTAAAATACAGGTCAATGTCCCCAGAAGGTATCATGCAAATAATGCAATCCACCCTTAAACAAGGTGTCCCCATAAAGACAGTTAAAATACAGGTCAATGTCCCCAGAAGGTATCATGCAAATAATGCAATACACCCTTAAACAAGTGTCCCCATAAAGACAGTTAAAATACAGGTCAATGTCCCCAGAAGGTATCAAATAACATCACACATCGCTTGTTCGTTCTATCCTCAATTTATACATGAGCACAACAGCAAAAATAATACCCCACAATTTCATGTTGGCTGAGCTTGAGTTGGGCCAATTTCTTGTATAAATGCACTCTCATCATGACATTTCGAAAAATAATCTTACCGTGGTTTTGTCTCTTACAAAAAGATCATTAGAGACATATTGGTTTAACGTTTAGACATTATACAGTTGTATGCAGAGCAGTACACAATCAAAATATTTCTTGGTGAGTCGTATACCTTTTAAACCCTGTCACAGTTAATTGTGATCTTTCAGACCACAACTTCAACTTCAAACTTCCCTCAAAGTCAAGAATAGTGACTTAAAAAGGTAGATATTTTTATGTAACCCTAATTGACAGACTTAGGCAAGTAATTAAGGTTGTTACTTACAAATACACTCTCT